ATGAACCCTGAGCCAACCACAGGAGTAGGGAATTTAGACTAAGCACAAAAAAAGGGGAAGTGCAAAACAATACCAGAAACTTCCCAATTCAAAGGTGCTGAGAACATCAGTACCGAACCAGTTACAACTCTCTCAGCCTTTTACGTAATTCTCTTTTACAGGCAGAATCACCAAGATGAACTGAAATGGCACAGCAAGAAGGAACTAACAGACAGAGAGCAGGCACAAATTTGACTGTTTCAAAATCAAGGTCAATAGTGCCAGAAAAAAGCGTGCAAGTCAAAGACAGCAGAGTAAGTCAAAAAGCAAAAGAAGAAGCAAGCGTTCAATTCGACTAAGTCTTTAAAACAAAGAGAAGCCTGCTTTTTAAGAAAATGAAACATTTTTTTTCAAATGCAGAGCCCCATCCACCACCTCTGATTCAGGTCCAAGGATTCCTGGAAACAAGGGCTCAGAGCAGATTCTCTCAGCAGAGAAGGACCTGCTGCAGTTGCCGAGGGAGCCTGTGCCTGGAATCACCCTCAGCCTCGGGAAGTCATCTTTCCCAGACGAGAAAGAGGACTATTACCGTGAAGTGAAACTCCATCTGCCCTTAAACTCAGCTCCACAGAGAGCGGATAACTGATGCAGGGCCCTCAGAGGGATAAGATGCTTTTACTAAAAATAGTCCCGGTGCTACAGATGCTTCTGGTCTGCAGACCACACTTGCAGCCCAGTCCACGAGTACATAGTCACTCAGTAGATGGGCGTGCTCCTCCTGGGCAATGCCTCCTGCCACGACCGGAAATCACTGTTCTTCATCTTGAAAGAACAAGACAACAACTAAGACTAAGAACTCATCATGTATTTTGTGGGTTTTGGAAATGGCAAAGTTAAGACAAACTTAAGATATTTGAAGACAACATTTACAGAATGGGTATAAGGACCAGCTTTCCCAACAAACTGAGGACTGCCCCCCCCCTCCCCCCCAATTATTTATCTCTTTTATTTTAAGAATGTATTGAGGAATTCCTGTTCCTCTTACTCTTCTATTGACCAATGAGAGGATTTTTCAAACCAGAAATCACAGGTCAAGTAGAGATGAGGGTGTCCACGCTGCAGGCTGGTACCTGACATTATCAGTTGTTTTCCATGTGACTTCTTCAATAAACTAATGTTTATTCCTTCCAGTACCACACACAAATAAGCAAATAAAAACATGTTGATGGAAATAACTGTCAGGGTTCCATACATTCCCACAATTCCTTAAGCTCAAAATACCTCCCCTTTGTCACAGCCCATGATTACATTACTGTCACAGGTATCAGTTGGTATAAATTTGAGAAATGTAAACTCATTTTAATATTAGCCAAAGCAAAAACAATAAAACAAATCTGATTTTTTTAAACTCAGCAATGTTTACATATTGATACTACTGTACATATTTCTGTCGATAGAGATAACTAAAGGTTAATTATTACATAAAATCTGCAGAGGAGAATAGTTAAAACTATATTATGGGAAGTTGCCAGTTGCCAATTAATTATACTCCAAAGAGCTACTTGCAAAATGGTTACTGAGAGCCAAAAAACCTGTTTCCTACAGAAATAATGTCCTAAGTCATAGTGAGGCTTCAAGGGCTGGTCATCAAAGTCTTAAACTGGAATGCATAGGAACCATATGTTAGTAGAACCCCTAAAACCCACGTGACTCCATGCACAGAGCAGGGATTAGCTATGGGAGAGCAGCGCTGGGAACTGCTCTAAAAGCAACCTTATCCGTTTGTCTATTTGGTTCATGGCTCTACCACCAAACTTCTCAAACAATGCTCGGCACAATTAGGCACGCAGTATTTATGAGTGAATGAATGAATGAGTGAGAGGAGGCACTGATTGCAATCTGAAAGTCTGATAGGGTGAGGGTTTAGCATGATACCACAGGAAGAAATACTCAAAGCAGGGCAAGGAAAGAAAAGAGGCGAGAGGGACAGGTAGAGTTGCTCCATCTGATGTTCTTAGAAATGGCTTAAATGCACTTAAAAAGGAGCAGGCACTGAAATGAAAAGATCTGAGCTTTTTCCTTTGATACAAATAGCTCAAAAGTTAACAAGAATAAGCAGAAACTCACTAAAAAGTGTCTGAGCCCATTCGTTAAGCTAACTAGCAGGCAATCTGCTTGGCAAAGACATCAGCCTGGATGTGTGTCAAATGACACCCCACAGTGAATTATTACAATAAAATTATAGGGTTGATAAGAGAGAAAAATTGCAGAGAAAATGACTCGCATAAAGCTTTGAGGATAGGAAAACATGGCTAAAACGACAACAAATTCTCAACAGTTGTTTTTTCGGTGAAAGCATCACATTCCTAGCAAAAACTGTCCTTGTGGCACAGTGATGGCTACAGAGGCAGACAGGCACGCGGATGTCTTCCCAAAGACTGTACAGCAGCTCAGAGCTTCAGCACAGCAAGAGGAAATGGGCTCTGAAGACTCTTTCCTCTCCAGGCCTCTTCTACCCACCCTCCGGCTCAAGTTACTTCTTCGATGTCCATGTCATTTCCCATTTTTTTCCATTTCAAAAATACTGAGGAAAATAGTCAGCTATCACCTGTAACTGAGAAGTGCTATACCTCAATACATCAAGTGCCCAGTATGTTGAAAGAGCAGAGGTTGGTTCCTCTAAACTTGTTGAACGCTTCCCAAAAGCAGCCGCTGAAGCCACTAGCTCCAGCTCACCCCCACCTGGGTCCCTCAGGGGGCTCTGGAGAGCAATGCTGGGACCACGCATGTCAGCATCTCCTGCAGAGTTACCGGGGACCTCTACCAGAAGTGATGCTGGGATCCTCTCCCATTCAGCTGCGAGGTCAGTGCAAACACAGGCCAGTCTTTGTTTTTCCTTTGAAAGGATTTGCCTTCTTTTTCCTACAGGAGGAGTAGACTGAGCTCAGTTATCACTGATCACTTTTCCTCCAGTAGTTACCCAGAAGGACACACTGTTCAGTTTTCAAGGAAATACTCGAATGATGAATATCGTGATTTGTAGAGTTTTAGAAAATGCTGGTGGATACCAACCAATCCAAACCTCAAAGAGCAAAGCAGTAAATGATGTTTAGGAGTGAAAATGTTCTTTTTTTTTTAATAAAAGTTTTAATTGATTTTAGAGAGAGGAAGAGAGAGAAAGAAAGAGAGAGAGAGAGAGAGAGCGAGAGCGAGAGCGAGAGCGAGAGCGAGAGCGAGAGAGAGAGAGAGAGAGAGAGAGAGAGACTTGTTGTTCTACTTATTTATGTTTTCACTGGTTGATTCTTATATGCGCCCTGACCAGGGATTGAACCTGAAACCTTGGCATATCAAGACAATTCTCTAATTAACTGAAGCTACCCAGCCAGGGTGAGACTGTTCTGTATTTTGAAGCAAGTCCAGGATACGCTACTGTATTTCCTGTTTCATAATATACTGACTAATAACAATTCCTAGTAATCCACAATGTTTCAAGGGTGTCAAGTGAAAGATGCCCCCAAAAGAAATATGATTCAAATCAAGGAGAAAATAAGGCCAAGTAAATTAGGTCAGTGGATTTATTTCTGCGTTGTGTAAAGTGGATGTGTGTCAGAGTCATAGAGGATTAGCCTAGAAGAGACGACCAAGCTGCCGGCCACATAATAGGAAAAGTGAGCCAGAACAGGGCGGTGACGCATTAAAACGTTCTGGTTAGAAAATGCCAAAGTATAACAACAGATTTTCCAGATGAATATTATTTTATTAGTGAGGTTACTGCTAATAAAAAAAGATAAATATAAAATTGTTCTCCCTTTTTAAATACCTTCCAAGAATTTAAACCCAATGTTTCAATGACCAAAATGCTAAACACATATCTAAACATTTATATGTGAAAACATTAATAATAAAACAGGTTATTATTTTTTTAATTTAAATTGATTTTAGAAAGAGGAAGGGAGGGAGAGAGGAAAGAAGGGGGAGAGAGAGAGAGACAGATATAACAATGTGAGAGAGAAACATCATTGGTTGCCTCCCTGACCAGGGATCCAAACTGCAACCTAGGTATGTGCCGGGAGGGAATCCAACCTGCCACCTTCTTGTAAGGGACGATGCTCCAACAAACTGAGCCACCCAGTCAGCGCAATAGCACTCTCAATTAGCCTTTCCCCAACTATGTTACACAGAATAACATTCTTATTGACCTCCATTATTTGGAGGAACAAAATAAGAAAATGCTGCTCCAATTACCTTTGGTTTTATTTCTCTTCCAGCTCACGTCACTCATGCACCCCTCCCTCACCTCCCAGGGAAAAAGCATGTAAAGCTGAAACTTCCACTCAGAATTTACAGACTGGGGGTAATATCTACCAAACAAAGGCTTCAAGGTAACAGAAGATCAGACTATAAAATCCACATGGGCAGGAATTTTTCTGTGTTTTGTTCTCTGCTTTGTAGAAAAGTATCTGGCACATAATAGGTAGGCAGGAAATATTTGGTGAATAAGTGAATGAATGTAAATGAATGTAAAAGTCAGCCGGGACCAAAATATTATTTTGGTCATAAAATATTTTGAAATACTGACAACTAGTCTCAACATTAGCCATAAAAACCTTAGTCATAATACTTAATATTAACAGTTGACATTTTAACTTTTAGTAAGAATGCAATTAAATGTTACCAAACTATGAGCCTTGGGAGGGTGTTTACAAGTTAGTTATCTTTGTAGAACAGAAACTTTAATGCCAAATAGATGTTTAGTTACAGAATAATAATAAAAACGTCTATTAGGAAATATGATGGTGATCCAGATGAAATAAAGCACTTGTCATGCACGTTATACTCAACAGACTATCTTTTAGAAACTGTATACACATCATCGTTTTGTACTCACTTTCAAAAATATTCAAAGTCATCAGTCTTTCAACATAAAATTTCATTAGAGTTCAAACCTTCAGAGCACACAACTATTCCCTTAATTTTTGACCATGTCCAATTTCAATGAGCTGATAAAATGAATAACTAAAATTGGTCTTAAAAGTCATTCTAATTGAAGCCAGATCTTAAGCAATGAATTCATTGCAAATACAAAGTAACAGACATTTTTTTTCCATTTTACTACAATGCACCATAAATCACATTATATAGACTATAACTTAATTACTGAAAGAGAAGTAATATCAAGGACTTAGCATAAAAACTAACAAACTTTGGGTTTAGCAAATAGGAATATACAGAATGAGTATTCCCATTAAAATATTTCACAAGGACAGACCTATGTATATCCTCATTGCACTATACCAGGGCCACGGATGCCCTGAAAAGCCATGGTTTCTGCACTTTTAGATTTCACAAACTGGTGAACTGACATTATTGAACATGAGATGGTGTTATATTTGACTTGGGAAGCGAAAATTATCCATAATGGCTTCCAAGTAGAAGCTACTCAGATACAGATTCCTGCAAGTTCTCCCGTTTCACTCCTTTGATTCCAGGCCATCACAGTCTCCTCCTTATAAATTCTACATTTCTTCATCAGATTATTTAATTTGGGGTTCTGGCAACTGAAACGCTCCAAATTGAAAAAGGATTGATACTATAAATTACATTTTATAAGTATGTATAATATTGTTGCAAAATAAATGTATTTTTTCTAGATTTTAATTTTTAAAATATATAGCTTTAAAACGTTTTCATAACTGCTGGTATAGTTTGTTAATTGACCTTTTTTAGAAGAATTGTCCAAGATCATGTCCTTACTATGTTTTTTAGTTTAAAAAAAATCTTTCCTTTAAAATAAAAGATTTAATATTGTATAAGGAAGATCTGAATATCTCAATGAACACATACTGATATTTCCCAAATGACCAAAACACACGATGCTATAAAATCATGCATGGGTATTCATTCCAAATGTAAAACAAATCAATAAATTTTAATGTAAGAGAGTATGAAAAGTTATCATGGTTTCAAATCTCATAACACATATTTTCTTTAAGAAACTTATCTTGCCCTAACCAGCTTGGCTCAGTGGATAGTATCAGCCTGATAACTGAAGGGTTCTAGGTTCAATTCCCATCAGGGGCAAATGCCCGGATTGCAATGCATATTTAATGCTTATGAGGGTTGTAATGATACTGGTGTTTCTCCTGAAATGTTTTTAAACCCTATAACCTTGTCAGTATCAGATAAAAGCACGCCAAGAAACAAGACAGCTCTCTCAGGCAATTCCATTTCACTAGAAAGCCATAAAAACAATTATCCATTACAGACTCTTTAAAAGGAGCTTCCAAACATCCAATTTGCTGATCCGGGCCTAAGACAGAATCCTGATGGCTCATGCTAAAGAATACAATAGCTTCAAACTGAGTAATGGTTGTTATCCTAAAGTCAGTGATCCAAATACAGAAGGATCCCAAGAGGTGGACACCTGTGTGTCTCCCAAACCTATTCAGGTGGGTCATCAGTATAAGTGGTTCACAGGGATGATTATGGAGGGTGCAGGTTCCCGACCTTCAGTTAATAGGACATTTTCAAGCTGTCTTGTTTGTTGGCATTTTTTACCTGATATCTTCTTTACCAATCAATCAACTCTCCTTTACTAATCAGACACATTTAATGCATCACACTGATTTTAGATCCTTGCCCATGTATAAGTCACTATTAGCACAAGATGAAAAGCATGTACAGGAACTAAAATCAATTTTAATATGAAAAGAGACCATTTAATTTCTCCAAGGCCTTCCGAGCACAGTGAGCTAGATAAAAACAACTTCTGGATCTCTACCCTCCAAAAGTCTAGACACGATACTCAGACTCAGAGAAAATTTTAACTTCCTATGAAACTTCTTTTGGGGTAAGAAAGTCTTCAAAACTAAATTGTAAATGATGTTTCCAATAAGGAAACACAAATCTCTATCTTTATACCTATAATTTCCTACCGTACTCCCAATGAAAAATTATCATTCATTTTCCTTTGATTAGAACGCATGCCTAATCAAAACCTCACTTATCTACTTGTTAATTCTGCATAGCTCAGAATTAAAAACCAGCCTCACTTTGATATTCCCAGTACTAAATACAAAGATTGAAAATGAGAGGTGTGCAAATGACTTCCCAAATTACCAGACAATGGAATATTCATTGGTAAGAAAAAAAACCTGTTTACCTTAGACTGCTAAAATTAGAAAGGCGCAAAGGAGGAGGGCAGGCCCGAGAGTATGGGAAAGTATTAACAATGTATAAGGATTAATTCTGGGGGAAGGGCACAATTACAATTATAATTATAATTACAATTATTATGAGCATAAAGTGTCCCAAGTCCCAGTTAATTGAAAATGACCAGAACCCAACTGTCACCCTGCAACGCATGGCTGAACCTCTCACTCAGGGGAAGTAAGATTTTGGTCCCTCACATACACTAATTCCTTTCTGTCCCAAGCAGATCCTGTGGGCCATTTGGGCAAGATGATGTCTTCTCATCAGGAGTCTTACTGTTCAAGGTCATATTTACAATCGAAAGTTAAGTCACATTTAACAAAACCATATCTACTAAATAAAATGTTAAAGACGTATCCACAATTTTTGTTCATAAGTTCATGGGATTGTTTCACGTTATATTTAAATACTTACTGAGCATCTATTATGTGCCCGGCACTGTTCTGAGAGCTGGAGTCTTTGGCAGTGAACAAAATAGATATAAGCCCTGTCCTCACAAAGCTGACATTCTGGATGAGGGAGACATGCGGCAAAAACAAGTAAACTATGTAGTAATATGGAGAAATGTACACTGGGAAGGGAAACAGGCAGTGTTAACAGAGTGAGAGGTAGTGGGGGTGGATCAGCATGGAGCAAGCTGTGGAAATCTTCGCAGAGGAATGTTTCAGGCTGGGGGACAGTACCGCATCTCAGAGGTGGAAGCATGACCCTGTGCAAGGATGGGTATGGAAGTCATGAACCTGGGTTAAAGCATCCAGTCCTCACTAGTGAGAAATATACTATGGAATACAGTAGATACAGATATGACAGACACCAACATAATGCTGAATGAAAAAAAGCAAGCCGCATGAGGATATATACAGCATACCATTTAAAGAGTCTTAAACATTAAAAACAGTATCACAAACTTAGCAATATATAAGTAGTGATTTATAAAGAGATAAAGAAATTTTATGTTTATGATCAACACCAATTCAGAAGAGCTACTTCTGGTGGGGGGTTAGATATAGTTGTGAAGGTCTTGGGGGAGATTAAGCAATTTAGGGTAATGCTTTATTTAAGTTGACTAGAAGCCCGGTGCATGAAATTTGTGCACGAGGGCAGGGGGGTCCTTCAGCCCCGCCTACACCCTCTCACAATCCAGGACCCTCCAGGGGATGTCCAACTGTCAGTTTAAGCCCTATCCCAATCTGGGACCACTGGTTCCTAACCACTTTGCCTGCCTGCCTGATTGCCCCTAACCACTGGCCTGCCTGCCAGATCACCCCTAACCACTCTGCCTGCCTACCTGATCACCCCAACTGCTTACCTGCCTATCTGATCACCCCTAACTGCTCGCCTGCCTGTCAGATGGCCCCCTAACTACTCTGCCTGGCTGAACGCCCCTAACTACTCGCCTGCCTGACTGATTGCCCCTAACCACTCGCTTCATCTGGAAGGACATCAGGAATGATATCCGGAAGGTAGTTCAGCTGTCCTGTCTAATTAGCATAGATGTTGGATATACAGCTAGTCATTATACTATTATTCTACCTTTTTCTGTATCAGAAATACTTTGCACTATTGTTTAAAAAAGAATTCTCAACCCTATCTCAGCATCCTCTGGTTTCTTACTTAACCATCTATGGGTCATTCTGGTGTCTATCTTTGAGTAAAAGACAAGACAGAACCAATATTTCTGTTCTACTTCAATCAAGAATATTTTACCACTGCTAGCATTACTTCTGCTATCATGAGGAAAAAGGGAGCAAATTAAAAGAATAAAAAAGCTGTCAGCCATTCTCCGGCACTCTGAAACTACACATTAGAGCCTTCTATGGTTTGCACAAAAGAAAATACGGCAAATCTATGCTTAGCATTTTAAATTAAGCTGCCTGTCACAATTTTAAATACAGCCGCTTTTCTACACAGGAAGTGGGTATTTTTAGAAATGTCACCTTTGCTTCTCACTGTATTTTAGAAAAAGAGAATACCGTGGATAAAACATTTGTTTCATACCTCACCTGTGCTTCCGGTTTTCCCATGAGCATCCAGGCCTCCCAGCTGTGCCCACCAGCTCTCCCACTTCCTTACTTTCCCTCTTACTCCTCCACCCGCAGCGTCTGCTCCATCCTCGGGATGAACTGGGTCAAGGGGTGAAAGGAAAGCTCGGAAGCAGAACTTGAGCACAAAAGGGGAACTTGGTACTATTCTCTGGGCTCCTCACTGGGAGGTCACCAGCATCATCGCAACTGAATGCAGAGTTGCATGCCAACCACAGTACCGCCAGGGTAGTCACCCTGGCCACGGCTCCTTCCTGAAAGACATTCTATCTCCCCTTTTCTCTTCTACTTTCCTCCTTGGCAGGTTCCCTTCACTCCCCCTTTCTCTAGGAACTAATATTCCATAGCTTTAAGGACCATCTTATTTTAATGACGGTCTTGATGTTGAAGCTGAACTTCTCTGGCTTGCAGACTCTTGCATGAAGGCTCCTGGACATCTCTCTTCGGATATCCACACAGGACCCTCAGGCTTAGCTCTGACCTCTATACCACCATCAGCAACCCCCATCACCCTGGGCCTCCTCAGGGGGTGCAAGCCCAGAGACAGTAAGTCGGTCCATACCCCTCCCCCTCACCTCCCAAACCCAACAGCCTCCAACTGCCATATCTAAACATTTTTCAAATCATTAATTCCCACCCATCTCTAGTACCACTTCTTTAGTTCAGACTACCCTTAATTTTGTAATACCACTACTGGCTACTGAGTACTTACTATGTGCAAAGGACTTACATAAAGGTTTGCTGAAAGAATTGGGTATATTGTCAAGTGTGGTTACTTTTATTTTATAGAAAAAGTGAAGTTTTAAGGTTAAGTATTTCCTACAAAATAGCCCTAATAACAAAGCTAGATTGCCTTGGAGTCAGAATTTATTAATGAGTTTACTGATTCATTCATTCACTCAACAATGACTCCATAACAGTAATTTTAACTACAATTGACATAGTGTCTCTTAAAAAAGTAATTTCCCCGAATTACTACAAGAGCTATAGTAACTTTCCTAAAAATCACACCTGACCCTGTCATCCAACGAGATGAAACTCTTCAATGGCCCCACATCACCCTCAGGATGACGTGGTTCTTGAGGCTCTGAACTCTGACATCACCTCCTCGAAGGCGCATCCCATCATCCTCAAAGCTCCTTTCCCTGTGGCCTTTGTGCCTGCGCTCAAACACCTCCAACACCTCCTCACTAACCTCCTCTAGACCCTTCTCCATCATAGGCTGACTCTAGATCATCTTTCAGGTCTTAGGTTGGACCTCTCCTCCCATGACCACACCCCCAGGTGTGTTAGGTGAGCTTCCCTTTTGCTCATTTAGTGCCCCAAGTCCTCTATCACAGCATATGTCATTGTGGATTGCAATTGCCAAGCAGGCGATTACTTATCTCTGGGAACTGGGTGACAGGGAGCCCCATGAGAGTAGGCAACGCTGCTGTTCACTTTGTCCACTGTGCTATCACCAACATCTGCACAGTGCTGCTGGCACTTAGTAAGTACTCAAGACATACTGCCTTATTATGAGAACACATGAAAACGCAGAAGGGTGGAAGCAGAGCATGAAAGAAATCAGATGTTCCTAATGGTTTACCATCTTAACTCCCTAAAAATACTCTATTAACATACACATCTCCATAGCTCAATCAGTACTTTCACATCACAGTACTTCTGTAGCAAGTAGAAAGAGGTTGCTCCGCACATGTCTATATGAATTTACGTCTCCAAGGGTTCAGTGACTTCTTTCAGTCAAGTCACAAGTAAATTCGTGCTTTTGAATATGTCTTTTTTGTGCGCCCATCAGATACTTAAAAGAAAAAGATGAGTTGGGACACAAAGTTCTGGATTCTGGTTAACTAGACTTGCAGTTGAATGTGGGCTGGGATCGAGGCAGCTGCACGTTTTGTAAGCACTGAAGCTTTTACTGTTTGGGAATATGCTCTAAGAAAAATATTATGAAGTTACCAATTCAAATTCAAGTACAAGCTTCATTAGTTTCATCTACGTGAGATAGTATAAGAAATTAAACAAGAAAGAGGAGGATGTATATCCTGAGTAAAAATAGTATCACAAGAAAAATAAGGTACAAGCAAGGGGAGGCAAGAGTAAAAGCTATTTACTAAGCAGTCAACATGGGTCCATTGTAAGGCAATGTACTAGGCCAGAGACACAAAGATGATTCAAGATGTGGTCCCTGCCCATTACTGCTTCCCATCGAGAACGGGTATCACACTTGCAGAGAAAGGATGCAGACAAGAAGGAGTTAAGCAGAAACCAGTTTGGCTCAGTGGATAGAGCGTTGGCCTGTGGACCAAAACGTCCCAGGTTCGATTCCGGTCAAGGGCACGTACCTTGGTTGCGGGCACATCCCCAGTAGGGTTGTGCAGGAGGCGGCTGATTGATGTTTCTCTCTCATCGATGTTTCTAACTCTCTATCCTCCTCTTTATAAAAAATCAATAAAATATATTTAAGAAAAAGGAGTTAATAAAATATTAAACATCCCCAAATGACAGTATCTAAAATAGCCCTCTATGCGCACAGTCACCGCGACTTGGTCCTGCTCCAGAGCACTCAGCCCTGTCGGAAATCGTCTTTGTTTATATGTTCGTTACCTGTGCCCTACTAAAAATACAGGATCCAGGAGAGCAGAGGCCTGGTTCGTCGTGCTCATTGCTGTAATCCTAGCACCAAGCAAGGTGCCAGGGCCATAAGCATTCCACAAACATTTGTGGAATGAGCTAGTAAGAGGAGAAAGCAATGAACAAAGAAACAGAACTTTACGAAAGTGCAAAGTAGCATGATTGACATGCTGTCATCAGCTGTCTGAGGATGGTTAAAATACTCCTGAGTCTTGCTGGCTCGCTCTACCAAGACAGGGGCACTCAGTCAGAAAAGCTTCCTCAGACCCTGTATTGCAACTGTCGCACCAAGGACCAGAAGCTCCCTCTGGAATCATCCTAGAATCCTAAGAAATTTAATTGCAAACTACAAGTGACTTTGGTTTTGTCTTGTGGCCCTTATATAGGGCTTATGTGAGATGTGTTACCTTCTTGAATATGAGTGTGGGGGAACGTGCTAACAGGTTTTATAATGCAATATGACCATTTATCCTTTATCATCACTAAAAATAATAACATCTATAAAGAAAACAATGCTTCTAATCATTTTAAGTTTCATGAATAGAAGTTAAGAACTTCCTAATATCTTGAGAACATCTATAAGGTCTGAATGGCTCAGTCTGATCCAATCAGCAGAGTCCCATTACTCACCGAGCAGCCCTTCTTCACCATCTGATTGTCCCCGTTTTACTATCATCAATCATAAGAAAACTCACTCCAACTGAAGATGTATGGAGAATCATGTATTTTCACTCAGATTCTCATTTAATGCTCCCGACCTTTCTGCTACATAATTACTATCATTCCTATTTAAAAGATAATAAAGCTATCCCTTAATCCTACTTCCTTTACCTTTAAAATTTTACAAAATTTCCCAGGACCACAAAAGTGATAAGGAGTGAACCAGCCAGAATGAAACCAGGTGTTCTCAATCTAAGTTCAGGACTCGTTCCTACATCAAGACTGATTCCTATATGCTAAACATTCTCTCAAAAATTAGTCCTCCTTACTCACAGATTATCTTTCCAGAATAGATGTATACCAGACAATAGCCAGTAAGCTGAAAAGTCATTAAGATAAGATCCCTTAGACCAGTGTTTTTCAACCTTTTTTGGGCAAAGGCACACTTGTTTCATGAAAAAAATCACGAGGCACACCACCATTAGAAAATGTTAAAAAATTTAACTCTGTGCCTATATTGACTATATATAAAGTAATTCTCTTGAATAGGAATCAAATAAACACAAAGAAAGTATTTTATAATTACTTTATTATGAAATATTAAGTAAACAAAATAGTGAAAAATTATAAAATTCTTGTCTTGTCTGCACCTACGGCACACCAGGCAACATCTCGCGGCACACTAGTGTGCCGCGGAACAGCGGTTGAAAAACGCTGCCTTAGACAGCACATCTCAAAATTTGGTCCAAGGACCACTTGTATAAAAATGTCTTGACCTAACTCCAGGCCTATTAAATGAGAACTGTAGTTGGATTCCTAGAAATGGCTGTTTAATAATTCCCCAGGTGATTTTGTTGATTATGGAAATTTGAAAACTACTGTGGTTAATTCTTTGCAAACCTCTATTTTTGTTATTTAGAGATTCAAAATCTGTATTCTCATTAAGTAAGGATCACCTTTTGGATTATGGAGCTTGTGATGGAATGTCATAAGTGAGAATTTATCTTTGTAGTTTCACAGTTCCTTCAAATATGTCCCACGGTATAAGCAAAGTAGGTAAACAACATTACCGGCTGAAATGAGAAAACATCCATTATGGGCGTACTCTCATTACACACTGCTCCAGATGTCTTTGACTACATAGGTCTCATTTCAACCTTGAGGTTAGCATCATCATTACCACTTCACAGCTGGGGGACCTTGTCCTAGCTGAAGGTTAGCAGATGTTTCCATCTATATCTTCTCTAACTCACATTTTCTTTACCCTACAAAACAGCTCCTCCCCATGAATTACTGCTACCTAGACTTCAAAAATCAAGGAGGAAAACTTCCCAAATGTCTTGAGCAGACAAACTAGCCAATCTCTAATTTTCCAACCCTATACTTAGTCCACTAGGAGTATTCCTCTTACAGTTAATAAAAGTCATCACCTAACAGTACAGAGTCATGGGACAAAATAGACAAAAATCAAGAATTCTCTAAACACAATTCCCAAAACTCTCCATTACCTCTGTATTGTGAGCGACTCTAGATAAAAGTCACATAAAAACAAGCAATTCACAGGCCCAACCTTAAGCACATAGACTCCCTAACTGAACTCTAGGAGTACAATTCTGGTTAGCACCACCTCAGGATTACAAAGTTATTTTCCTCAGTTGCATAAATAAAGGGAAAGCAAGACTGGATTCAAGTAAATCTAAGAGCAGTTGAAACCATGTGCTTATCAGTAACATAACCCATCGCCCCCTATGCCCAGAGAATCTGCATGAGATCTGTGAACTGACTGGTTAGCTCTCTCTTGCTGAGGACAAAGGAAGGGTTCAGAATTCAGAACATAGCCAAGAGAAACTTAACTGCTTCTATCTCCGGGAGCCCTGTACCCCCACACCTCCCAAACTATCCCAGACTTGGGAATATTTTGACTCTTAATCCCGAGTTTAGCTCGGTCACACGCTGTGGTGTCTGCTGCCCTTTGGGGCATGCTGGGACACGTGTGTGATGCCGTGGACAGCTGGGACCTCAAGGTCAGACTGTGCTCAGGGAGGTCAGGCCTCTGTGAAGGGACTCTGCATTCAAGTTTAAATTAGGAAATATATGACTCCAGGCTGTTTTAGTTCATTAAAACTAAGTATTCACACACAGCAGTGAGAGGTACACAACTATCATTAGAGATTTTAATTTTGCTCAGCTTTCCTGTTTCACCACCGCCCTTGGATGTGTGTGCGAGAGGACAATGATGAAAAGTGCAGGCAGTAAGTATGGGGGGCAGGAGGGCTGGATTACAAGGCTTCAAATGACCATCATCGCTAAGGTCATGACTGTTCGCCAGTGCTATTCAGGACTGAAAGAAAAGATTCCCCATTAAAAATAATAGTGCGGATACATAGTGCATACACGAAAAGGCTTTCCCAGGACTTATTGCCACATGAAAAAGAAAATGGCTAGTATTTCAACTAGAGGTCAATTCATGTAAAATATTATGTTCCCATCTATGAATCTA